TGTTATATTTTGCATATTTAATTAAAAGGTGTGAAAATGACCCAAAATCGATCAAAACCATTGGCTATATGGAGTCCAGTACTTTGGTTCACTGTAATCTTGGTTCTCTCTCATTTCTCACACACTGATGGTGACATCATCACCAATAAGAAACAAAGGAGTCCAGTACTTTGGTTCACTGTAATCTTGGTTCTCTCTCATTTCTCTCACACTGATGGTGACATCATCACCAATAAGAAAGAAAGGAGTCCAGTACTTTGGTTCACTGTAATCTTGGTTCTCTCTCATTGCTCATACACTGATGGTGACATCATCACCAATAAGAAAGAAAGGAGCCCAGTACTTTGGGTCTTCAAAATCTTCTTCTCCTCTTATGTCATCCATGGCCATTTGTAGGCTTTTACTTGCACTTTCTCCCATCTTTAGAGACGTGTAAAAGGTTGTCATAAAACTTAATGTAGCCTCGTCGTCAACGGCCCACAACGACGCCACAACAGCACGAGCTCCTGCAGCAAGAAAAGCTCGACTCATTCCAACCACTCCCTCTGCCTTGATGTCCCCACGACCACTGTGACAACAGCTTAGGACAACAAGTCTTGCTTTCACACCAATCTCTTGTACTTCGTGCATTGTTAACATGTAGTCTTGTTCGCCTGGGATACTTGTTGCATCTGTTCTTGGTGAAGGGGCAAGGGCTATGTGTCCATGTTCGGGGTCTCCATGAGCTGCAATATGAATGACAGCAACACCCTCTTTCAACTTTTGTTTAACCATTTCCTTTGTCGCCTGCGATGCAATTAATGGCTCGGCACCCAATAGTCCTCCAATAATCTTTGCCTCGTGCCCTGCAGATGGAAGACGAGTGATGAAAGTCTTTTCCCCCCTTAGAACTACGTCTCCAACATCTGGGTCTCCAACTATGAGCGCGCCTGTTTTACTGTGGAAGTCAACAGGGCATTCTTGTAAACCTTTCAAAGTCGCTAGTGACGGCGAGAAACGAATACTCTTAGTTTCAGATAGGAATTTCTTTGTAACTGGATCTTTCAAAGCTGCAAATGGCACCCTGTACAAAGGTCCATCAGGAATGATGACGATCTTTTCGTGTTGGAGGTGTTGAATCACAGGGGTAACCAGCAAACTGAATAAGATCTCGAGTCGATCTTTCATTTCATTAGTTACTTTCATCTGTGGTTCCCCAACTGAAACTACGTATCTTTCAACTGATTGAATCGATGATTTCTTTGTTTGAATGTCGCTTCTGACTTTTGGAAATTCAATTTCTTCTGCTGACTCAAGAGATCGGTTTTCGCATTTCCTAGTTTCGACTTCTTCCTCCAGCTGCAGAGTTTTGATTGCAGGCAATGCTTGGCTGTCAATGTTAACGCAAACTATGGGCTTCTGATGTGTTAACGCCCAAGCATGCAATTGCGAGTGTTCATGTGCTATTGCAAAGAAGAGAATGCAGAATTGATTGCTCGATAAAACACTTTCTAGATCAGTGCTTTCAARTGGTGTTTGGCTAGGGTATCTTGCTTCTGTGATACCATACTTTGAAGCCAGAATATCTGCTAATGAACGCGCTCGCCCGCGATCGCTTGTCAGCAAGGCCTCTTCTATCTTTGGGCGTTCAATCAGCACTTTCGTAAGAAGCTTATAGCTTGCGATAAATGTATCGACAATAGATATCTTGAAATCGTTTAGATCCCTTAAATGACTCAGTTCCCATTCCCAGCACTGCAAAGCCTCCTTCAACTTTTCTTCCGACTTTTCTTTTGCATCTTGAGACTTTTCTTCATCACCGTCCTCATCAAACTTCATACTTAGACTGTAGTATACCAATCCGAGTTCGTAGCCAGCACATCCTGCAAACCGTTTCAGATCAATATTCTTTGCAAAATCAAGACCTTTTTCTAAAGAGGTAATGGCTTCGTCATATCTCTTTATACGAAAGTATGCCGTTCCTAACTGATAATAGGACGATGCTTCTCCTTCCTTGTCTTTCAATGATATGGCAATCTTTAGGCTCTCTTGGAAACATTGRATAGCCGCTTCAGTTTTGCCTGATYCTAGCAARACAACCCCAATKTTGCAAATAGCTTTTCCTCCTTCTACCTTGTCACCAATTGCAAAAGTGCACAATAGGTACTTCACAAGGTAAGACTGTGCTTCTTCATAATTATTTAACTGTTGATGAACGATTCCTAAGTTTTTATAGCACTGCATTTGAGCCCTTTTATTATTCTTTTCGATGGCGATCGTCAGGCTTTTTTTAGTGTATTCAAGAAACTCTTGGAACTTTCCAACAGAAAAATACACTCTTGCAAAACGCAGATATGTTTGCCATTCTTTAGATCTGTTTCCAATGTCTTTGAAGACTTCGATACCTTTTTCAAAATATTTTTTGGATTCATGGTATTTGCATTGATAGCAGTAGACTTCTCCCAAATTTATATAAAAATACGCTGCAATATGTTTGGCTCCTATGTCCAAGGACATGCGTAAGCCTTTTTGATAATGATTTATGGTCTCTTGATATTTCATTGACGAACGGCAAACATTTGCCTTGGACTGGCAAGAAATAATTTCTACCTCTTTGTCAGAGGTAATATGTTCTTTTGCATTTAAGTCCATTTCCGTATATTTCATGGCCTGAGCAAAATTAGGTATGCTGAAATAAGCAGTTGCGAGGTTTCCATAGGCTTTTCTTAAAATCTCTTTGTAATCCATTTTTAAAGCAATTTCGATACTTTTTTGGATAGATGAAATGGCTTCTATCGATCTACCCAGGTTAATATAGGCGGTTCCTAAGTACAAGTACCCAGCGGCCATTAAATTCTCGTCGCTTGTTTCTTTGCCGATTCTTATGCAGTTTTTTGAACATTCCTCCAGTTCGTAGTCTTTGTTCATTTTGCTATAATTACCTCCAAGGAGCGAGCATGCCATTCCCTCAATCGCAATTATACCAAGGTTTTTTGAGATGTTAATGGCTTCATTACAACAGTCAATGGCTTTTTGGTACTTGCATAAAGATTCATATCTTATCGCCATTAACAAATATGCACCTGTTGCCACCTTTTCGTTACCTTTTCGTCCTGAAACTTTCGACATCTTGTTTAGATATTTTGAACACTCTTCAAAACATTTTTTTCCATTTAACTCAGCAAGAAGCATGCTTAACTGAATACCATTGAAGATATCCCCAAAGTGGTCGGATATGATTAGGCATTCTTTGTAAAGACAGATTAACTCGTGATTTTTTAACTTCAAATACCCGAGATGTCCGTAGGTAATGCCAGTACGAACCATGGCCAATGAGCAAATCTTCTCGTTGTTCATTTTGAAAGAATAGCTACGTTTTCACTTCACTGAACCTTAGTTTCAGAGAGATCTCGTTTTCTGAAAGGAAAAAGGGATGAATCAAGGGAGCACGTTAACATTTTGATTATGTTGCATTCTCTCGACTATGTGAAAAAAACATGGCTCTTACACATTTATTTTGTTTAGTTATAATTTTAGTTAGAGAAGTTTTATATGTATTACCCCAACTCATCACTCCATATGTCAGGTAAGGATAAATTAATGCATAATAAATTTGTTTCAGTGTAGAGAGATTAAGATAATACCTAAGTTTATATCTACTCCCAAGTTTTTAGCTAGTTTATTGTTTACATGTCTAATTTGAGTCTTCCAGTTAAGATTTTCATCTATAAATACACCTAGATATTTAAGTTCTCTAACACAATTAATATTAGGAATATGAATGGTTACTTTCTTCCTTGCAGAAGAAATTACCATATAGTTAGTTCTCTTCATATTTACAGATAACTTATTTATGACGCAGTATTCTAAGACTAATTTCAGCTCCTCATTTATTTTTCTCTCTAAGTCAATTGGATTATCCTCAGTAAGAAATATATTAGAGTCATCAGCAAAGATTCTAAAAGACAACAGTTTTGACGAATTTGGAAGGTCATTTAAATATAATAGGAACAGTAGAGGCCCCAATGTAGACCCTTGGGGAACTCCACATTTGATGGTTTTCAAATCTGATAGTGTATCATCAAGCTTCACATATTGAGTACGATTATCAAGATAGCTCATGGTAAACCAGTTTAAAGCGAGGCCACGAATGCAATACAGACGTAATTTAGCTAACAAGATTTTATGGTTAACAGTGTCAAATGCTTTTTTGAAATCTAAGAATATACCACATGTAATTTTCTTTTTGTCTATTTCTGATTTTAGAGTGTCTGTTAAATCAAGTATTGCCTGCTCCGTAGAATAACCTTTTCTAAAGCCAAACTGGTACTTATATAAGATATTATGTTTATTAAGATAGTTTATCAGTTGGTCATAGACAATTCTCTCGGGTTCTACAAAAACCGATTGAATTGCTATTGGTCTGTAATTACTAGGGTCAGTAGGTGAACCACCTTTAAAATTAGGAGTCACTTTAGAAATTTTAAAGATATTAGGTACAATTCCTGAAGAAATAGACATATTATAAATACGGGTAAAGATCTCAGAAAGTGACTCTTTGGCCAACTTAATAAGCTTACTAGGGACATCAGCAGATGCCTTTTTCTCATTAAGAGAAGAAAAATGTTGCTTGACTGTAACTGTGTCTATTTGAGAAAGATAGAAACTTTTGACTGGACTACTCTTAATATACTTTGTAGGATCATCATTGCTTTCTTCGAGTGAGTCTGCAAGATGAGGCCCAATATTGACAAAATAATTATTAAACTGGTTTGCCATATCTTGTTTACTTGTGTAGGTAATATCATTGATTATCAATTTTGCTGGGGATAATGAAGCTTTAGTTTTCCTTTTGATTATTGTACCTATTAGTCTCCATGTTGTTTTCATATTATGTTGACATTTCTGAAAGTATTTTGTATAATAATCTTGTTTAGCTATATTTTATAATTTAGTCAGTATATTGTTTATATTTTATCTTCTTAGCTTGGTCTTTGCTTAGGAAGTGTGTATAATACATTCTTTGTTTATGTTTAATTGATTTTAATAAACAGTTAGTTAACCAAGGTTTATCCAATTGCCTAAGCTTTGTATTCGATGCCATTCTAATGGGAGCATATTTATTGGTTATATCTTGTATCTTATCTAGAATTTCTCCAGACAAGTCATTCAAATTAGTATTTGTGTCGAAAGCTTCATCCCAATTATAGTTATTAATTTCCTCAATATATTTCTCTTTAGTCAAATTTAGAATAATCACGGTAAGAGATTTGTTTTTTTTTTAACTTTTGAGAATGCTTTAGTAACACAGAATAAAGGAAGATGGTCCGAAATATCCATAATCATCGTCTGTATTTTATATTAACGAAGTAGTTCACTATCAACATGATGAAAAATAATTCCCTCATTATGCTTAATTTACGTGAAAGTTCGATTCGTTATTCCTAATTTATGCTATGTCTTCAGATTGATGGTTAGTGCGGTTTTTTTTCGTTCGCTTGATCTTTTGATCTGCGTGATTCAGTTGGATTCGTCTCAGTGCAACTGCGCTGCGATATGCAAATGTCACG